GTTAACCTCATCTCATGGCCTGGCATGGCCAGATGGTTAGGGGGGGGGGTTCAAAACCACGTTCACCAAACTTTCTCGCCTTTTCAGCCATGGGGATGTTATAATGTGACGGTCAATTCCACTATTCGTTGGTAAAAAGAGTAGCCCAAGAGTTGGCAGTGGGTGGTGAAGACAAGCTGCCTTCTCTCTAGTCTTTCACTGTTAACTTAGGGATGGCTAGAGCAGATAGCTCTCGTATAGCCTTGTGCGAAATTCAAGCCAGACCAAACCTCATCGCACAACTCAATATAGTGAAATTAAACAGTAGAAAAGCTATTGCTCAGGCTTACATTTTTAATCATCAAATTGCTTTCACTCACACATGGAATAAATGAGTGTTTTCTTAGAGGTACAATCGTGTACTTTGACCATTGCTTGAGTTTAGGTCACATGCCCCGAGTGACATCAGAGTTTAAAGACAATGTTGTGTGCAGTAATGACGTTTATTCTACACTCACAGCAAAATCATCAAAACTGTTCCTCGTATCTTCCAAGTTTATTACTACTGGATCCTACCATGTTGTAAGTTATATTTTCGCTTTTAACTTCACGCATTTTAAGCCTTATTGTTACTGTTGCCAGAAGTTTTCTATGTTTTGGTTGTTATTTTACCAGAAACTTTTCAATGTTTATAAAATGCATAACTACTGTTGTATTCATAATTTCTCTGCTACTGTCGTTTTTTAATTCTCAGGGTTTATCGCTACTTTCGATTCGATATTTTGAAGAACAAATTACTATTGTTGTTTCCAAATTTTCAACACTGTTGCTAGTTTTGGCACAAATTTTTGCTCCACAGACTGTAAAGACCACGTTTTAGCATTAGTTTTACCTCCACAGACAGTATAGACCATGAATATTTGCAAGTCGAAGCTTCCACTGTCTCCAGAAAATAGCTACTGTTAATTCTATGTTATTCTTTAAGTAAATGTGGAAAGCATTATTGTTACGTAGGAATATAGTACTGTAAACTTTTGTTGCAAGAGTTGCCTACAGTTACCTCTATGTATTTCTAATTCGCTTTCAAATATCTAGAAGATATGAGATTACTGAACTCACTAGCATATGGCAGAAATATCATCTCCATATGATGCCTGTATGATGCTCAATTGACGTTTCTCTTTAGGGTAGCCTTCCAGAGGTACAAAGGCATGCCTAAGGACTTACAACGCTAGAAACCGGGTTTCGATATTCGTTGTGGGCAAATCATAGATAATCCGATAATCCTTTGTGTAGGTTTGTGCTTACCTTCAAACAAACAAGATATGAAAATAAGTTTTTCTACCAAGAAGAATAGCTGCCAAAACATGTACTGCACCACCGCCTGTGTGTTCCCTGTGGGGAAAACAGCCTTCTCTCATCTGTTCTTCAGGCAAACGACGAACACGAATTCTACCACCAGCTTTAACAAGTTGGAAACAGGACGCATCTGAACAGATGATATGCTACCAGTGTACTAACTGTAAGTTAACATGCTGTTTTCCCCAAGTAACGCGGTGACGGTGGTGAACTCTGGTTAATATCGGTTTGCAGATAGCTGTTCTTGCAAAATAACCTTGTTTGGTCAGTTTCATATTCACTGTTTTTCTAGATACCCTGAAATGAATATGTTCATGCTATTCCTATTGTAAGGTGTTGCTTGACTTCTTTCGACCTTGAAATGCTAACCTGATCAAAACACGGTCATCTCGGGCAGTAGTTTTTCGGCGCTTACCAATAGACTTTCCTGGAACAACGTTTGCTGTAGTCCGATGACGTTTCAGAATTCTGGATACAGTACACTGGGGGTACCCTACTATTCTGGCAATGTTTGTTTGCTTCTTACAATTTCTGGACAGTCAAACAATTTGGCACCCTATAACTTCTGGCACGTGACGAGGCATGACTCTACACCAAGTACAGAGAAATTGTCTGAACAAAGCATTGATCTGTTTCGAAAAAGATCATACCAAAAACTCACCCTTTTATATAAAACAGATGTGTATGTGTATTTTGACGAAGAAATGTTCAAAACAACTTATACAGACCAGAATAACAACTCGTTTGTCCGCTCATACGCTACCTTATTTGTTACTACTCAGGCATTTACTCAATAACTACTCCATGCATATAGACAATAACATCAATATAGAACAGTATGTAAGCATTTTGGCCGAGAATGTTTATAGTAAAAACTACGAAATGGAAATGGTAGAATATATCCTAGTATGAAAGGTATCTATATATTGAGTCCTATACAACTACGGGGATACACTATCATGCAGCTTAAATACTCAGACATTGTTACGTACTGTATAATCCTCTAGTGGCACAGCTGTAAACCTGCGGACTTATAATGCTAGAAATCGGGTTTCGATACCCATGGTGTGAATAGCACAGATAACCAATTATGTAACTTTATGCTTAACTACAGACAAACAAACATACTGTATAATTTTCCTGGGAGATTTTATTTTGTTGTTTTTTTAAATATGATAAGACTTAAATTTCGTTCAAAGAGTTGAGATATGCCTTTAACATTTTGTTTATTTTTTATGATGTTCGTAAAACTATCATTACTGAAAGTTAATATCGCGTCATTTTATTTAAAAAAATAATTTCCAGCTTAACATATGTTACAATAATTAAATAGAATTCACTGTTGGATCAGGCATAATCTATTAAACATGTCTCTAGTTAGAAATATTTCAGGTTATTTTAAAACATAAGATTCTGGAATGTGCTCTCTTAGTAATTCAACATTCAGTTGCTATAAAAATTGCATAATAAATTGATTACTACTAATGGATATTCAAAATTACATTATTTTGATTTAGTTTTGTCATTCTCTTGAGCCGTCAGTCACCAAGCAGGGTAAAGCAGATATGTTCTGTCTGTTTGTTGTTTCATAAGTACTAAAACTCCAGAAGGGAGAGTCGCACGCACTTGCGGCAAATGAGAATAAATTCTAATAAAAATACATCAAACTTATCTGTATCTCAAAAAGTGGAAGCATATGAAACGACGTACCCTTGTTTCAGATGACTTCATAACTCACATATTACGGATATTAATCTAACTTGATCTAACGAATTTGTTGTTATGTATTTATTTTAATATCGACGTTGTTTAGATTATGTGTATATTTAAAACATGCATAGCTTGTAGTGTTAGATATGTATTGCGAACCTCCCGCCTATTTTTCAAAGTTGTAGAAGATTCTTGAGAGTAAGAATCAACAATATATTTATATACGTAAACGTTTAAATACAGCTCAGTATTTTTATGTAATATGAATTTTCTAGAAAATCTTCCCACGCCTATAAATACAACCAACGCGACGCGCCAAAAGAGGAGTGTTTATTAGTAGTTCGCTATAATCAGTGCGCTGTAAACTTCGAAAGCTATAATTGTGATTTTTATAACGCTTATCAATCGGAAAACTTTAGATATTTGATCAGGAACCTTTACAAAGTTTGAACAAATTATTTAACTACAGTGGATTCTCATTGGACATTAACATTTTTACGAAACATTACTTAACTTAAACGGTGGAAAACCTAGCGTGTGTGGCCAAGGACAAAGCTAGCCAGCTTCCCGGCGAATTGTACTTACATCAACTCGTAATTAACTCGCTCATCGTAAACCCTCGATAAGATATCAAGGGAGTTCCAAACTAG